AAGCTACTATCCATGTGGATTTGGGTAAATTAACTAACCTCTCCATGGCTCACATTCTTGTCGGTATTGGGGATTGTTGTAGTAGTACCACATCATAGATCTGTCCAGATGAACAAGTGAGACCACGCAGGTAAAGGACATAGTGCTTGGCACTTCCAGCGTGATCAGGTACTAATTACTAGGCAATAAGGAGGGAGGAATACATCTGGGGGACGACGGACATGTGAAATCAGTGCAATGTGACTTCTCCAGTTGCTTTCCAGGCTACAGGGTCCGAGCCTAGAGAATTCCTCCCATCCCTGTTACCCAGTGGCCAGAGGCTGCCTTAAGCAAAGCACACGATCTACCTGGAACTGAAGCAACGTGGGAGCTTCTGCCAAGTGCCACTAGAGCTGCTAAAAGCAGACGTTACCATTACCCTAAGAACAACATGGCCTCCAGACATCTAAATGCTACTATCTGTGTTTTAATGGACAGGAGGAAATTCTCTAATTAATCACCTAGAAAGGGTTTGAAGGGGAATGCATATGCATGGGTGTGACAGGCAGTTGAGAAAGAGGAGGTCACATCAAGATTCATTAAGATCTACTGACCTGGAGGTGGTGAGAAGTCAATATTGGTTTCTAGCGGACAGTTTTATTGTGGATCAAAATCCAAAGTGCAAAAGTGTTGTTTGATGTTTTCTATCACAAGACAGCTCATTGACGTGTAGGCTTGGCTATAATTTTGTTTTGCCTCCTGAGGCAAAGATTCTAACAAGTAAATCTGAAAGCAGAAACATGTTCTTTTCCACCCTGGAGTAGGGAGGGATGGAGGGTTTGCATCAGGTCTGGCCAGGTTAGAGGGAGTCTGTCGCACAGGAAATGGAACACATGACAACTGTGCCCAGGCCCCAGACTCTGCCCCCTCCTTCTCTGCACTGCCCTGGAGTGTCCCCATTCTGGCTGCCTTCATTTCTCTAGCTGCAGTTTCTACCTCCTACCTGAAAAGGATCTCTTTCATTCACATGTTTGTTTATGTTTGTTTATTTTTTACCCTGAACTGTTGAATGCCTTCTAATGTGCTAGTGTTGCATCAAGTTTTCACACTCTGCTGGGGAAGGCAGACACATGCAGGTAACTGTTTTTACATGCAGTAAATCTTCCTACTACAAGTGATAATTGTTTTAGTCGTGGAATGAGCATAGTGCAATAGTTAGAGGCTTAGAGGAGAGGCCGTAATGAACATTCCGAAGTGCAAGGCCAAACACCCATTGCCCCTCTCTGTCCTGCGTGCATCACTGGAGGGCAGAACAAGGGTCAGTATGGAGAGGGCACCCCTCGCCCCCAACCAAGAGGAATCTTAGGGTACAGATACCCCCAGAGTCAGCCAAATTTATTATTTAATTTTCAAGCAAAATTTATTTAATTTTATGTCATGTAAATTGAATGTTTCAATCAACTGGTTAATCTGCAAATCTTGGCTGTATGCCTGCTGGATGCATATCTGTGTGCTGGATGTTTTCATGTAGGGAACATGGGTAAAGAAAACATGCGGGCTGCCCTCAAGGAGTTTATAGTCTAATTTGAGAATTTAAAAACTAAGATAGCAAACAGATGTGGTGGGAAGGGTTTTTTTCTCCTTCCCTTTTGTTTATGGAGTTGGGTGCCTACAGGATGGGATGACAGGCAGAGACAGACATTCTTCTAGCATGGCTGGGTATAGGCTGTGCACTGCACAATTTGCGGGGGAGGGGGGGGGGTGGCATTCACATAGACAGTGGGTGACTCTACAGGAGGAGTCCGGGGCAGTGCAGAAGGTCAAATAATTTTAGAGGTCCCATACCCTGAAGGCAGACCCCTGTGAAGTTCTCTTTCCCTAATCCCATTCTCCACTTGCCAGGATCCAGTGCCCTCTAGAGCAGTGCTATTCAATAGAACTTTCTTCTATGCTGGTGATGTTCTTTATCTGTGCTGACCCATATGGAAGTCACTAGCCACGTGTGTCTGTTGGACGCTTGAAATGTTGCTGTGTGACTGAGATACTGAGTTTTTAATGTTATTTAGTTTTAATTCATAATTTAAATAGCCTCATGTGGCTAGTGGCTAGTACTGGACAGCACAGCTCTAGAGTGAAACCGCATGGAACTGAAGGTCAGATAAGCTAAGAGGAAGTAAGACCTTAGAGATGAAAGCAAAAGGAGGTGAAAGGCCTAACGGGCTGTTGAGGAGGCAATTCAAGGGTGAAGAAGTTTCTCTGGCAATCACGAGGGAGCAAATATTTAAACACGGCCAAGAAGGCCAATGCAAAAACTAAGTGGCGGGTCACATAGTGTATGATCTCATTTTTATGAAATATCTAGAATGGGTAAATCCATAGAGTCAAAAAACAGATCAGTGGTTGTCAGGAGGAAAGAGGGAATGGAGAATGGCTGCTTGATGGGTACAGAGTTTCCCTTTGAGGAGATGAAATGTTTTGGAATGAGACAGAGGTGGTGGTTGCACTCGCTGTGAATGTACTAGATGCCACTGAATTGTACGTTTTGAAATGGTTAATTTTATGTCATGTAAATTTTACTTCAATTAAGAGAAAACCAATTAAGCGGCAGTAGGGTGGGGACTGGTTACTACTGGAAAGAACATGTGAGCACTCCCACATCTCTAACTCTCCTTGTAGTTTCTAAAGAGATGGGATGTATGATGTACACCCAAAGTAAAGGACTTTTATACGTTCTTCAGGATTCTCTGTGCGTCAGTGTGTGTGACAACCAACATGTAAGATCATTTGGAGCATGAGCTGTCCTACATCTTCCTATCTGGGACAGAGATGTATGCTGGCATGATCAAGGATTATATTTAGGAATGATCATGGACTAGACTATGGGGGGGAAATGATACCAACATGGTTCGGAAGAGTCAAACCTTAGTCATTCATCTGCTCTGATTTGGTCATTTAGATTTTATTAGGAATTAGAGATCTGAGGGCTTGAAAGAACCCGAAGAGATCGTGAGGCCATTCCCCTTCCCTTGGGCAGTACCACCCTCAAGTGAAGGGGACCACAAGGCCCAGAATGGCAGTTATAGAAGTAGTAGTAGCAGTGGCTCCTGTTTATTGAGGGCTCACTCTGTGTGCACAGCACTGTGCCACGCATATCACGTATATTATTCTGTTTAATTCTCTCCACAACCCTAGGACGTACATAGAGTGTGAAGTACTTCACAAATGAGAAAGCACGTCCAGAGCACTTATTCAAACCAGCAAGCATCAGAGGCAGGATTCAAACCCACAAATACCTGGCCCCAAAGCCTGTGCTCGTAACTGCTAGTCTACATTACGTCTGACGTGTGGTATTTATTTCACTGTTTCCTGAGTAAAAGTGGCATCCTTAAGGGGAAAAAAAAAATCATCATCATCTGGCATGTCTTTGCATTTCCTCTGCCGTAACTTTGTTTAATTCCTCTCTTAATCTCTGAGATTCCACTCATCCTTCAAAGGCCAGCGCGAGCCCACAGTCTCCATGAAGACTTCTCGTCATTTTAGACCAGAATTGTCTCTCTCACTCTAGATTCCCGTAGCGCTTTTTTCTTTTTTTTTTTGATTATTATTTTTAAGTGTTAAAGTAGAATTTTAGTGTACAGCTTGATGAATTTTTATATATGTATTACCTGTGTAGCCATCAGGTCAAGATATCAAACATTTCCAGCACTCAGAAGATTTCCTTGTGCCCCTTCCCAGTCCACAACTCCCCTCAGCCTTCTATTACCATCAGTGAATTTTGCCTACTCTTAAAATTTATGTAAATGGATCATATAGTATGTAGTTTTGTATCTGGCTTCTTCACCCTGTGATATTTGTCCATGATATTCATCCATGTTGTTGTTTATTAGCATTTTATTCTTTTTATTGCTATGTAGCATTCCTTTGCCTGAAGATACCACAATTTATTTATTCCTTCTCCTGTGGATGGACATTCAGTTTGTGATGGTTAGTTTTAAGTATCCACTTGGCTAGGTTATATTACCCAGTTATTTAATCAAACACTAAGCGAGGTGTTGCCGTGAAGGTCTTTTGTCGATGTGGTAACATCTACAATCAGTTGACTTTAAGTAAAGAAGATGACCCTTGATAGTGGGGGGCGGGGGGGGGGGCACTTATCCAATCAATTGAAGGGCTTGTGAACAAAAACCGAGGTTTCCCAGAGAAGAAATTCTGCCTCAAGCCTGCAGCATTAGCTCCGGCCTGAGTTTCCAGCCTGCTGACCTGCCCTACGGATTTCAGACATGCTAGCCTCCACAAGTTCATGGGTCAATTTCTTAAAATAAATTTCTTAATATATCTATATATATATCCTATTGGTTCTGTTTCTCTGGAGAACTCTGATACAGGATTGTTTCTAGATCTTGACTACTGTGAATAAAGCTTCTACGCATATTCTTGTAGTGTCTTTTGGTAGACATACGCACTAATTTCTCTAGGGCATATCCCTAGAAGATGAATTGCTGAGTCATAGAGTACCTGAATCACACACATGACAGTTATGACTGACTGCTAGAATAATCAGTTACATTTAAGGTGAATTTGTTAGGGCTAAAAGGAACGGTAGAATTTGTTTTATCCATATTCTTCGCTTTCCATGGGAAAAAAGTGAGGCCTAGGGGGCTAGCCCAGTTGTGTCATGGTTAAGTTCATGCACCCTGCTTCAGCAGCCCAGAGTTTGCGGGTTCAGATCCTGGCACGGACCTACACACTGCTCATCAAGCCACACTGTGGCAGCATCCCACATACAAAATAGAGGAAGATTGCCATGGATGTTAGCTCAGTGACAGTCTTCCTTAAGCAAAAAGTGGAAGATTGGCAACAGATGTTAACTTAGGGCCAATCTTCCTCACTAAAAAAAAAAAAAAGGAAAGTGAAGCCTGGAGAGTAGTTATCCACCCAAGGTGATAGAATTAGTTATGTAAATATTTAGTTATTGGTGGTAGAATATTTTGGGCTGCAAGGAATATAAAAACCAATTTGAATTGATTTAAACAATAAGAAAATGTATTATTTCATACAAGAAAAAGTTCCCTGGTACAGGAGCTTCATGGTTGGTTAATTCAGCAGCTCAACAGCATCATCAAAGATCCAAATTCTTTCCATCATTCTCAGGCTATTGACTCTGACCTCAGACTGGCCCTTACTTAGTTGCAGATTGAGTACAGAAGTTCCAGGCATCAGGCACATCAGTGTCCAAAGGAAGAAGAGATTGTCTCTTCCTCTTATCTCTTTTGGAAGTAAAGAATCTTTCTCAGAAATCCTCCAATATACTTCCCTCGACATCTCTTGTCATGCGGGTCATATAGCCACCTTCATGTGAATTGCTATCAAGGGGAATCAGATCTTCGTGACTGAATAAATCAGGATCTATTCCTGGGTCTGGGGATATGGTCTTTCCTTCTGGAGTCATGTGGGAAAGACGTGGCTATTTGGACACAACTGGGGTTCTGGCAGCAATGCAAGAAGAGGGAATGGATATTGTGGAGTTGAGTAATAGTCTTTCCAACATAAGTGTGCTCAGGTAGCTCAAAACCTACTTGAGGACAACAACTGTCTTGCATTTCCTTGGCTCATCCACAATACCCATGAAGACAGTCAGAGGGCCTCTAAGGCTTTCTCTGTTAGCAGAGGATAGATTTTGTTTTATTTTAATTCATGTCTAGTCTTACATATATAGAGTAAATAAATGCGTATTCGCTCAACTTCAAGCGTTTTAGAGGTAGTTTTCTTCATGTTTCTTGTATTTGGGGTTTCTTGAGTTTCTTGAATCTATTGGTCTATAGTTTTCATCAAATCAGAAAATTTTCAATCATTATGTCCTTCAAACAGATGTTTTTGTGTTCCTTTCCTTTCAGCCCCCCAGTTTTTTTTCCTTCTACTCTTCTAGGTTTTTGGCTTGGGATCTGAAACAAAAGACATATTAACAAGATAAAAGCCTACACATTTCTTTAATATAAGTTTTATGTGACATGAGAGCCTTCATAAGGAAATGAGGACCCAAAGAAGCAATTAAACCTGAGCATTTTTATGCTGGATTTGATAAAGTGGAAAGTTGTGAAAAAATGCAAAGGGACAAAAGGGTATGAGCTAAGGGTAGTAAACTATGGGAAACTTATCAACATCTGTTCATTCAGACTCCTCTCAGTGTCCCTCTGTCTTTGGATATAAGGATGCCCCTGTCCTTCAGGTATAGGAAGGACACCTCACATCAGAATTTTATGACCTGCTTCAGAAGAGGAAGGCAGGGGAAGGTCAGAAAGATCTTCCTTCTTCTGCCATTTCCTCAAACTCTTTCAGCTTAAAATATTCAATATACCAAGTTACCATGTTCTGGGGTAGTGTGTCCTGAACCCCGTCAAACTCATTTCACCAGACTCTGTGAAAATTCAGATTTTCATAGATTCCTTGTTGATTGGAGAGTGTGTGCTACTGTCCATCTGTAGAGAAGGAGAATCATGATTGTTTTGTGTCCTTGTAGTTGAAACGTGTTCCCCGCTTAGGGACAGCAAGGAACCATGATGGCTTCAAGCTGCCCCTAAAGTCTCTTCCCATTCTGGGCCTACCCTACACTTCCCCTGGTGGCCTGTGGTGCTTTCTTCTTCTAAGGCAGTGAGACATGTCAAACAAGGGTGGAGGAAAGAGAGATTATTCCTGAAATCAGACTTCCTTTTCATGCAGCAACTTCTGCCAGGCCTAGGAGAGAAGGACATCTCAAAATTCATTTGCAAAAAGGGAGAGAAAGAGCAAGAGGAAGTCCACTTACAATGGGAAAAAGCCACAGTTGCAACTGACCAACAAAAGCTCTGCCTGGGTTAGGAGTGCAAAACTAGACCCTTTGGCTTGACCATTGAGGAAATCTCTGTAGTCTGATCTCTTAGTACACAAACACCTACACACACACACACACACACACACACTACATATATAAGAATATATCGTCCATGTTATAAGAAGACTGAGTTGTAATTCTTAACAGAGCCTTTGCTTACAAGGCATTTTTCACATATATTATCTTGTTTCATCCTCACATGAGATAACCAAGGGTTGGAGAATAGCTTGTCCAGTGTCACATAGGTGGTAAGTGGTAGAGCCCTCTGACTCCAAGTCCATGCTATTTTTAACATGTCAAAGCTGACTCACCTCCATACAGGGAGACAAAACCACTGGAGGGTTGCACTCTTTCATTAAAAATAAATAAATAAATTTCATTAAAGAAAAAATTGATTAAAACTATGTGTATATACATATATATATCCATATCATATATATACTTCATCTGTATGACAACATATTTACATTTGTATATACATGCACAGAAAACAGGAAGCATACAATAGATTGAAATAGATGGGGAGTTTATAGGTGACATTCTTCCTTTTGGCTATCAGCATAATCTAGAGCAACACTGTCCTTTGGAACTGTCTATGATGGTGGAAATTTTCTATATTTGCGCCGTCCAATATGGTAGCTATTGGACACATGTACCTACTGAGTACTTACACTGTGGCTAGTCCTAACTGAGATGTGCTGTAAGTGTAAAATACATACTGGAGTTTTAAGACTTAGTATGAAAAGAAGACTGAAGCACTTATTAGTTATTTTTGTATTGATGAAATGTTGAGATAATATTTTGGATATATTGCGTTAAATAGAGCATTATCAAAATTAATCTCACTTGTTCTTTTTACTTCTTTTAATGTGGCTACTAGAAAATTTTAAATTATATATGTGGCTCACAGTATATTTCTACTGAACAACACTAGTCTAGAGTTTAAGAGCATGAAATTTGATATCAGGCAAATTTGAGTTTTATACCCAGTCTTCACTTTTCTAACTAGGTGAGCTTGAGCAAGTTACTGAACCCATCCCTTGTTCTTTTCCAGTTGTAGAACAGGGATAATGATGGTACCTAGCTCAGAGAGTTATTGTGAGGATTAAATGAGTGGATAATGTAAAGTCACCACAGCAGGGAGTTCCTGGCATCTGTTAACTGCTCAATAAGAATTAGTAGTTATTTTTATTTCTAAATTTTCTATGATAGATGTGAATTTCTTATGTAGTAAAGATTAAAAAGAAAATTGAAAGAATTAAATTAAAAAATAATTAAATTAAAACAATTAAATTAAAAAATAAAAGCAAGTATTTTTAATCCTGGTCAGAAGCTGAGTATTTATGTTGCTCTAAAGCTGTGAAGCAATGTTTGCTTTGCTGTGTTGTGTGTGTGCTGTGTTGTGTGTGTGTGCGTGTGTACAAACCCTGGACAAAAGTGGAGTTGGTGCCCATTACAAGTGACCGTTTATTAAGCAATCTCATTCTTGCCTTCTGACCCTGGTCCTCCCCCTTCCAGCAAGGGGGAGGATAATTGCATCATGGTTCTCCCTGGCATGCACAACACACCAAGTGTTCGCCTAAATTTAGCCAACATGAAGTCACTGAAACTCTATGCCCGCTAGATGCAATTAGTACTTTGTTATTTGTTGCTCACATGGCTTATATCCTGACTGCTCTGCGTAGTTCATGTCCTTAGATGAATTTAAAAGGACTGAAAACCTTTTGTTTCTGGGAAAACTGCTTGGGTACCAGAAACAGAAATCCCAACTCAATGAGTCCCCTGGAAGGGACCCTGAGGTGAATACTTGATGTCTCCTGTGAGCCAGGGAGATCTCAATTATCCTCCTCTTTGATGGCAGGGGGAAGAAAAGGATGAGCAGGCTGGGGAGGGAGGGATTGTCTATATTCTACTCAACTTGTACAAGCAGCACTTCTGGTCACTGGCTCCCAATAATGGTCCCAACTCCACGTTCCTTCCAATAATCAGAAATGACACATGGAACACAAAAACATAGAGGGCACAGCAGGACTGACTCTACAAGTGGACGAGGGGTGGGGATTGCCCACTAAGTGTCGTTTCAGAAGGTCAACCTCTCGGCTATTGCCTCAATTTTACTCTTTGGGATCTCCTTCCTGTAGTTTAAGCTTCTGAATCGTGTGTGTGTGTGTGTGTGTGTGTGTGTGTGTGTGTGTGTGTGTAGACATTGGGAACATTAGCTAAGAGTCTCAATTCTCAAATTTTTGTTTCTCAAACTTTTTCCTCACTTTGAATGACAGAGACTTAACTCCTATCAGAGAACTCAGTTTTGTTACATTTAACAAGCAAAATAACTTCTGGGAAGTGCGCAAAGAGATAAGGCAAAAACTACTGAAAATATTTCTAAAGTACATAAGGTATTCATAAAAGCATTTTACACAGTAAGGTAAGACACTTTTTTTTTTTTAAGATTTTATTTTTTCCTTTTTCTCCCCAAAGCCCCCGGGTACAAAGCCCCCCGGTACATAGTTGTATATTCTTCATTGTGGGTCCTTCTAGTTGTGGTATGTGGGACGCTGCCTCAGCGTGGTTTGATGAGCAGTGCCATGTCCGCGCCCAGGATTCGAACCAGTGAAACACCGGGCTGCCTGTAGCGGAGCGCACTAACTTCACCACTCAGCCACGGGGCCAGCCATAGTTGTTTATTTTTAGCTGTGGGTCCTTTTAGATGCGGCATGTGGGACGCCGCCTCAGCATGGCGTGATGAGTGGTGCCACATACGCGCCCAGGATCTGAACCTGCGAAACCCTGGGCCACTGAAGCAGAGTGCACGAACTTAACCACTTTGCCACGGGGCTGGCCCCAGTAAGGTAAGATATTCTTGAGGCCAGGGATTCTGGACAAAATTTGGAGGCCAGTTGCCACTTCTCTCTACCCTCAAACATTACTGTTCTCTTGTTTTCTATGTTTCATTTCATCATTTAGGACTTCTCCTAAAAATACATATTTTTATGATGAAAAAATATATAAAAATAACTTTTAAAAGAATATTAAACTTTATTTTGAAAAACATTTTTTGAAGTTATTATTGCACCACAGATTATTAGTGAGGAAATATTTCAGAAAAGCATAAACAAACCCTATTTCATTTACTAACTACATAAACACAGATTGTAATGTTTTAACTATTCATTTATTCATGAATTCAACAAATATTTATTGAGTACCCAGTGTGAATAATAGTAGTGTACATTTCATTTGTGTTATCACTTTATCTGTCTTTTATTAAGTAATCATAATTTTTGTAATTTTACTAACAAATATGTTTCCAGTATAATTCTTCTTCACTTGCAATAAGGGTTTGGTGAAGTCATTAAAAATTCATCCTCGGACAACATTAAAAAGAAAATAAAAGCAACTATATAAGCTCAATTCACATGGCAATTCGAAGTGGCCTTGACTATTAATGGTACATCATTATATCCTGACAAACTGTGACAAACAGATTACAGACAATTACTAGCACCCCGTTTTCTCTCTCACCAAAGAAGTATGCAAATAAGATGGGGCAAATTTATTTCAGGGGAAACACTGAGGCAACTCAGATTTATTAAAAAGTAAAGTGTTTCAAACTTCAGCACTCTATTATTAGTAACAAGTTAATTTCCACATACCTCACAGTCTGATGAGAATAGCTGTGTTAGAGAGTAACCAGTCGTCAACACCTCAGTGTGAAGGAAGATCTGAGAGTAGTCTCTAAGAGATGAAGAGAGGGAGAGAGAAGGAGAGAGCAGTGGGTACTTGGAGTAGGGAGGGGGCCCCTTGGGGAGAAAATGTCTCTAACTTTCTAGTTTTGCACAGGAACCCTGGTTTCTGGAATAACCTCCCTAGGTCCTAGTCCTGTTTTCCCCAAAATCATAAAAACCTAGTCTTTGCAATTGCAATTCATATTTTATTTCTACTAATTGCTATTACAGTTAGTAATTGCTGCTAGGAAATTGCTGTTACTACTAATTACAATCATAGAAAAGGGAAGTCTGCTCCTTCTAAGAGCTTTTCTATGTTGACAGTCATGATAGTGACCATTTATGGTAAATTTTTAAAGGCATTAAAGTCGTTGTAGTGAGGGTGGAAGTAAATACTGTTGCTATGGTTTTAAAATATAAATAAAAATAATTCCACTAGTACAACAGTTAAAATACACCACAATATAACTGACAATTGCTTTTACTACGATAAGTATATAGCACAATAATTACAATTTTTTAATTTCATAAAGATGATATATTTCAAATCCATATGAAAAAGAGATTATTCAATAAATGAGGTACTTATTTGAAGAAGAAAACAAAGGTGAATATCTCACTTCTTATATAAAACACATTATAAAATATAAAAATAAAATAAATGAATCCATTAAAATTCCAGAAGATGAACTGAGTGTATATTTTAATAATCTTGGAGTAAGGAAGTTCTTTATTTATTTATTTATTTTTAATTTTTTTCTAATTTTTCCTTTTTCTCCCCAAAGCCCCCTGGTACACAGTTGTATATTTTAGTTGTGGGTCCTTCTAGTTGTGGCATGTGGGATGCCGTCCCAGCATGGTTTGATGAGCGGTGGCATGTCTATGCCCAGGATCAGAACCGGCGAAATCCCGGGCTGCTGAAGCAGAGCCCGCGAACTTAACCACTCGGCCACGGGGCCGGCCCCAGGAAGTTCTCTTTAAGCAGAAACTCTCCAGGAAAATACTGCCAGTTGGGGCTTTTTTTTTTAAGTTAAAATATCTCCACAGCAAAATAAAAATGTCTCCTTATTCCACAGAAACAAGGTTGAAACAATACTGTGAAAAAAAATTTGCAATATTAATGACAAGGGGATAAGATAAAATATACATAAAACATTTATAGACAATGACCATAATAAGTTTTACATATAAGAAAAAACAATCCTATAAAAAACAGCAAGGACTTGAATAAGGAGTTCAAAGAATAAAACCACAACTGTTCCCAAACTGCTGAGCACAGTAAGATGTTAGAGGGAGACACTTTCACAAATGCCAGCCCAACCCTCATTTTACACAGGGGGAAACTGAGGCTCAGAGAGGTTCAGTGACATCCCTCCTGGTATCCAACCTGTTAGAGCAGAATTAATTCAACTTTACCTTGAAAACAGTCTACAGAGATGTTTATACACCAAATGTGGACAAGAGCGGATCAAGTTGCGGCCCTCCAAGTTCAGACCTGTATGTGCTGCCCCGAGAAGGCATCAGGGAGGACGCTGGAGAAGCAAAGGAAGATGGCAAGGCCCCATTTGCACTCTTGGCTGCAGCATACAAGGGACCCGGCTCCTTTGGCTTGGCTGCTCTTGCAGCCGCTTTCAGAGGCTCGGGACATGAGATGCTGAGTTAAAAAGACGTTCCAGGTCAGCTCTCATTTGTTTGGATGACAACCTCCAGCCCAGCTCTGCTAAAGGTCACCGCCTGCAGGAGAGACCTTGCCCACGATGAATGCAGAGACCAGACGTGCCATCCAGGGCTGGATACTGATACAATCTGAATGGAAACCAAGAGGAGGGCAAAGAAAGAAAAATATGTATCATCCTAGTGGCTCTAGCTGTCACCCAGGTCAGGTGTTCCCTAAGTCTGGCCTGTACACCACAGAGGGCACAGGAAATAACAGTTTTAGGTAGTAAATGGATACATTTTTAATTGTAATGGCCTTGTATTTGTTTCAATATGTATAAACACATAACTGGCATACCAAAGTCATTATTTCACATATCTATGGTTTTTTAGGATGAACCTACAGTAAGTGTTTAGGTACAAAAATGACTTCATTTAAAGAACAATACTAAGTAATTAATGGTGCGGGTGTTATTTGAAGACGATAAAAATTGTGAATGAGGTATGCAAATGACTGAAGTTTGGGAAACACTGATATAGCCCATTTTCTATAAATTTTTTTTTTGCACCAGCTCTGGAAAGAAATACATTTTACAATACCTGCCAACCTATACATACATACACATATGCAGTGATAACAAAGAGTGTGAGAAACAACGTGTACTCCTATTTGTGCGATGTACTCTGGAGCCCAGATTCATCTCTGACTCCCCCTTTTCCCTTTCTTTCTCTTTCTCCTCGTATTTGGTTGTCTTTAGGTCCTTCCTATCAGTTCTGCTTCTAAAAGCTCTTTCTTCATCCCTTTTTCCATCTCTAGTGCTTCATTCCTAGTCTACGCCCCATTACCTTTCACCTGGACTATACCCTAACTCATCTTCGTATCTCCAATCTAATTTTTCCCCTTCAATCCACCCTTCTCACCATTGCCAAAAAGGTTTTTCAAAAATCCTGACTTCTCCCTGCCGTGCTCCAGCACCCATGATAAAGTACAAGCTACTGATCAAGGCCTTAAAGGCACCTGCTTGTTGGTCCCTGCTGACGCTTCCAAATTCCAGTACCGGCAGAATCAGGCCCAAAAACCCAGGTTTCTTGACTCTCAAGTCTAGTACTCTCCTCAGCACCTCCTGCTGCTCCTCAAGAATCTCTCCCTGCTGTTTTCATTCTCCAGGGACTGACAGCCACATAGGTGACTCCTGCGTCTCTGGCACAGGGAGTTTTGAGTAAATTCTGTCGTGAGACAGACAGAACGTCACAAAGCAGACTCGACATGGACAAGGGTATTGTGTCCTTGAACACACAATGTCATAAGTGGAGGGTACAGAACAAGCTAGTGATAGAAGTGAATAAAAAGGAAATTAAAAGTGACTTTTAGGCAACACTGAACTCATGCTGGAGACAGCCATTGCTGCAGTTACCTATGCCGTCCTCACTTTGCACTTCTCCCACAAGAAGCACGTGTCTCCACCACTGCAACTGGGAAAGTTCTGAGACTGGTCCCAGAGAAGGACCAAGCAGTTTTCTTTTCTTTTTTTATTTATTTATTTATTTATTTATTTTTTAAAGAGTTTATTTTTTCCTTTTTCTCCCCAAAGCCCCCCAGTACGTAGTTGTATATTCTTCATTGTGGGTCCTTCTAGTTGTGGCATGTGGGACGCTGCCTCAGCGTGGTTTGATGAGCAGTGCCATGTCCGCGCCCAGGATTCAAACTAATGAAACACTGGGCTGCCTGCAGCGGAGCGCGCGAACTTAACCACTCGGCCACGGGGCCAGCCCCACCAAGCAGTTTTCTTGATGCCCCTGCACAATACTGTGAGAATGACTACAAAAGTTCGCCACCTGCTCTTATTTACCGCCCATTGACAGATTTTTCTCCATATTTTGCAAAGAGAAATTTCACAGCAAAAATCCATGTTTTGTTAGCTTTCTCATGTTGAGATCTCAGTTATGTCACTGTTGAATTCACCCACAAGTTTCCGCTTCCTATGCCATTCAGCTTCCTTGAACAGGATCAGAAATAGCTTTGTAAGTGATGTGGATGTAACTGTAAAACAATGAAAAATTAATATATTTTTTCATTTTTCCTTAAGATATTTATTTATTTATTTTGGAGGAAGATTAGCCCTGAACTAACTACTGCCAATCCTCCTCTTTTTGCTGAGGAAGACCGGCCCTGAGCCAACATCCATGCCCATCCTCCTTTACTCTATATGTGGGACGCCTACCACAGCATGGCTTTTGCAAAGCGGTGTCATGTCCGTACCAGGATTGAACTGCTGAACCCCGGGCCACCGAGAAGCGAACGTGCAAACTAAACCGCTTCGCCACCGGCCAGCCCCTCCTTAAGATATTTAGACAACGCTTGTTCCACGCAGACCAGTGTCTGTACATGTTGAAAAGACACTAACATGTGAATAAAATATTCCATTTGAAACTTAAAAAAAAAAAAAAAGCAGATGTCTCCAACCAGCACCACACAAGGACCCACTGGCTGAATTCCAACGTGGATCAGCTTACTGGAGTAAGCAGAGGCTATTGCTCTCCCCCCACCTCTCATGGATGTTGGACTTGTCTCAGTCCAGGGAATGTTAGCTGACGTGACAGAAACAGAGGCTTCAAACGTGTTTGCCTGTTTTGACTTGGCTTCTTGAAGGGTTCCACCCTCCGCCAGGAGGCATTCTGAGAAGAATGCCTCAGGTAGCCATTGTCCTTTCATCCTGGGTCCGGAAATAGAACCACATGGAGCAGACGAGTGTCTAACCCTAAGCCTGGAGTCCAGCCTAGCTCAGCCAGCCCAGGTGAGCTCAGCTGCGATTACACCAAGGTTGACCTGCAGACCCATTAGCAAGAAAAAGAAATGTTTGCTGTCCCTCAGCCACTGAGATTTTGAGGTGGTTTGCAATGCAGCAAAAACTAACTCAAAAGTAAAGTGGGTTTTGTTTTGTTTTTGTTTCTCTCAAGTTAAAAATCAACTCTTCGTTTTCCTTTCATGGATCATCTACACGGGGAAAAGGAACAATGCGCAGCTGACCTTCTCCTGGTTAGCCCCCAGCACATTTCTGGGGCATCTCCCAGCATGCGGGTTGCGTAACGCAGAAAGCTCCGCAGCCTCCTTCTCACATTAGCCTGACAAGAAAGTAAATTAGGACTGTGACACTCCTGCGCTCCCTCCCCCAATAAAGTCACAGCGATACCCAAAGTAAAACAAAATCGGTGGCCCCTTGTTCTTAGCATATCCATGCCACTGCTTCTCCTTTCATAAAGTGGGGATTATTTTTATCAAGGGTCTCCAGCGCTGGGGATGCCGTCTCCCCGAAGTTTTAGCCATCATCTTTTCTAGCAAGAGTTCATGGTGCCTGAGTCTTTTTATAAGAGGAATGTTCCCACGAGGCAGCCAGCAGGGTCAACGCCACAACGTCCAATGGCCTGGTTTACACAGACCTCGTTTTCCTCTGAGGTCTCGGAGGAGCTTCTCTCCTCTCAGTGTAGCCTTCTCTGTGCTTTTCCTTCCCTGCCTGCATCTTCCCAGCTCGCGCCGGCGTTCACCAGGTCCTTCCAGCGGGCGGAGGTCCGCTTGCTGGCAACCCAGAGCCTCCACGCCATTGCGGACGCTCTCCTCGAGGTGGCAGTAGAGAGTCGCTCCCTGCCCAGCCGCTTACGTCACCTTGTTTACCCGGCTCCGGGTCATTTTTAGATCTAAGATCACAGGATGTTAATTGGGCCAATGGTTTCCCATTCGTTTTGGCAAAAGGCCCTTCTTGTGGGCGTCCGGACAAGCATGATGTCCTTCTTGACAATGGAATTTTGCTGCGGGGAGTATTTATTTGCAAACACTTGGAATTGCATCTTTAGGAGATGGGAAAGCTGCGCGTTGGTGTGTGCCGCGGGCTTGTTTTGGGGTCACTTTAGTTTGGGAGCCCGAACAAGGATGGCGTTAACTAGGGATACGGGAGGCTAGATATTACAATGGTGTGTGGGAGGCATCGCCAGAGCCAGCTGAGAGCCCTGAAAAGGAGTCTGCCTTTTTACTTCCCGCTCCTCCTTCTGAAACTACTACTCAGCAGGAAAGCATTTGGACTTTGGAACTTGCAGAAATAAGGAAAACAGCTGATTTGGTCAATCTGTGTCCTGATTCATTGTGGGGAGACACTTTGAAGCTCAGGGGCCTGCCTCAACTGCCCTCGCCCAGGAATTGGATCTTAATGTGTCTCATCGTCATAAATCACGCTTTTCGCAGGCTGGAACTTTTCATCACAACAACAATGAGCACCACTTATTACTCCTTAGTTATTACTCCCACGCTCCCCAGCTGTTGATGAGGAAAGGCCAGGCACGGGGGAGCTAAACGGCCTAGCTCACTCTCTCACCTCCAGGACTTGTGTAGTTTTTGCAACAGTAAAAACATCAGAAACACTGGGTTTCTAATCTTTTCGTGTCAGCTTTGGTAGGTAGGTAGGAGATGGAAGGCATTGGGAATTTGTCTATGACTATACAAGAGGCAAAATACACAACCAGAATTCCTCAGCTATGAGGTCCCTTACAAGAAGAGGGTACAAGCATCTTATGCTAAAGGAAAGAAAGAGAATATCTATTGATTAATGTCAAAAATAAACAAGCCTCCAAGTTTAAGTGCCTGTTCTTCCCTGGCCCCCTCTGGTCTCATCCTTTCACCCATTCCTGTTGAGATACCGTATTAAAACCAACTCCTGCACTCTGCTTCAGTGGCCTGGGTTCGCAGGTTCAGATCCCAGGGGGAGACATACACCACTCATCAAGCCATGCTGTGGCGGCAACCAATGTACAAGATGGAGGAAGACTGGCATAGATATTAGCTCAGGGCAGCTCTTCCTCAAGCAGAAAGAGGAAAGCTGGCAACAGATGTTAGCTCAGGGCCAATCTTCCTCACCAAAAACAAAGACAAAAACAAACCCAACTCCCAGAGAGGGCAAAGTTCCTCTCCCTCAAGTAGTGTGCAGTCCACTGGAGTGATCATGCTGGCCTGGAGAAATAGACGGTTTTCATGTAAGCAAGAAGAGAAGGAAAATTCCATTCAGTTCCATTCAGCAACCATTTCTTAAGCTCCTAATCTGTGTCAACCTCTCAGACAGGCGGTATAGGTTATAAAAACATGAAAAGACACGGTCCCTGCCACTGCGGAACTTTGAGTCTAGCAGAGTTTATAGTCATAGGAGATTTTTGTTCCTTTTGGAATGAACACAAAGAAAGAAGGGTTGAAAGAGACCTTACAATAGAGGGGAGGAAATGTCAGGTAAATGGCTTGGGAAAAGTGTTCTTCCACTTTGGCGTCTACTTAAGAGTGGTGTTGGGGTCAGGTCCCGACAACGCTGGCAGAGCTGCTTGGTGGAGAACAGAAGCCCCCCACTCCAGGCACTCAGGGCCTCCAGGGAGGCTGAGAGGCGGAAAGAGGAGGCCACTTGCTCAGGGTCAAAGGGTGCACTGAAGGGCAGGGATTTGGAGCCGGTTCCAAGAACCATGGAGTTCTGCAAAGAGAGCATTCCGTGTGGCTGCCTCCAGGTGAACGGTCAGGGCAAGAATTCAGGCTCAGCTTCAGTTTCCTGCATCTGTAAATAGGAAGAAATATGTGACTAGGAAGAAATAAGTGGCTTCAGGTCCACTTATCACCAGTTAAATCACCTTTTCAAATGCCTTTTGTCAAGAACCTGGTGATAATTCAGATCCATCCTCATCACAGGGAAGAGAAAATGGAGAGAAATCACACAATGAAAATTTTTTATTTTTTATGGTTATATGAAATTTTAGAAAGACTTCTAAAAACTTTTTGTTAAATAAAACAGACAACAGCATAAAATAAATGTACAGCTTAATAAATTATAAGGCAAACACTCTTGTAACCTTGCAACCACCCATGAAAGGAGATAGAACCGTGTCAGCAATCCCAGCAAGAACTTTTAAGCCATGGTAACTGCTGCAGGCTCCAAGGACAGACTGGACATGTCACTTACAGGATATTCTAAGGCCTCCAAAGAAGGAAAGGGCCCTTCGGTCATCAATCAAGCAATATTTATTGAGTGCATATAAGAGTGCCACATACAAAGTATAGTACCTCATCCCCACACATTTACCAGAGGGAGGTGAGAGAGGAAAGAAACCAGCATTTATTGAGTGCCTACTGTGTGCTAAGTGCTTTACCTATGTTATCTGTAAATGAGATAAACATTAACCCTCACTATGACTCTGTGAGGTTGGTGCTATCATCCCCACTTTGCAGATGAATAAACTGATCCAGAGGGGTTAAGTAACTTGCCC